CGGGGGTGGGCTGTGGTTTCCTGTGCGGGCTGTTTGTGCCTGGCCCAGAGTGCCCGCTGCCTGCCTGGGCTTCCTGCCCTGTCTTGGTTCATTGTGCCCCCCTTCTACAGCTCCCCGCTGGGGGAGGGAGCAGTCAGGGATTGGGCAGCAGACTTTGGGGGCACCTCACTGCCAGGGCATGACTGCTTCCCGAGGCCTGGCCACACTGGCACTGGCTGAAGGAGCCAAGTGAGATGACCTCAGGCTTGTCTAGGCAATGCCATTTGTCCCTGCAGCCTCTGAAAGGTACAGAGACCAGAATGGGCAGAGTCCCTTGTAGAAACACCCTGTTTAAAGATCCCAGACTAGAAAGGTCTGGGGCCAGGAGTTTCCATGTCCCTGTAGGGCTGGGGTTGCCTGACATTACCCTGGGGATGCAGGTGAGGTTGGGCTAGAAACTCCCAGACAAAAATTGTTGATTTACATGGTCTCCTTTGGCAGGAGGTGGGGGAAATGAGGAGAACTGCTAGGAACCTGGACAAGGGGAAGCCCCTCACCCCCAACTCCGCCAGCCTGGAAGCTCCCACAAAGAGGGTCTCCGAGCAATAGCTTGGTCCTTGAGCAGGTTTCCTGCTGGGCTATGAATCCTTGACCTCCCCGCCCAGCTGAGTCACCACCTCAGGAAGAGGAAGTGACTTGGGTGGTAGAGAAGAGCTTCTAGGGGCCAAGGAGTCCTGATACCCTGGAGAACGGGGACTCACAACCTTGTTGTCTTGGGAGACTGCATCTCCCTGAGCCACAGGTCAAGGATCCCACTCCCGTTGCTCACAGCAGGGCCCTCCCCTTTCAGCCATCACAGGGGCTCCTAACCATTTCCTCTCTAGAGGTATTTGCCCACTGAATGTGGGAGCGTGGACCCTCCAAGCAGTTTCGTTACTGCCTCTTTTGGGTGGTTTTGAGCTAGGCAATGAGATTGGTGGGCCTGCCAGAGAACCAAGCAGAGGTTCCCAAGGTGGGGGCAGCTGGAAATAGGTGGGTTGCCACTGGTGTGTGAATGCCCCCATACCTGTGACAGTTCTGTATTGAACAAGGAGCTGGAGGCCCTGGGCATCCATGGAAACTTTCCTGGTCTCCCACCTGTAGCTGGTGTCAGGTCCTGCTTCCTGCCCCCCAACCTCCCAAGTGTCACAGGGAGGGCAAAATATCTCAAACTCTGTCTCAGTGGCCTCCTGGGCTCCGTCCTCATGAGTGTGCTGCTGGCCTTTCACTTAGGAGACTGGCACCAGCTCCCTGTGTGTGAGCACATGTCTCCACTCTCCAACCTGCCCCCTAAGAGGGAGCCACAGCAATGTGTTCCCAGAGCCCCATCCCTTTTCTTTCACCCATCTCAGGGGCTCCTGGCCTGGTGCTGCAGGGGGGTGGGGGGGATGAGATGGGAAAGTCCTGACTCATCCCTGCTTGACTCAGCTTGCCCTGTGGCTGGGTGGGAGCAAGGGGTGGTGTTCTAAAGGAGAGGGCAACTCTAGGATTCTTCTGGAGCAGAGCCTTGGCCTACTGGGGACACTGGAGAAGACTAATTTCCTAACAGCCCCTTCCCAAATTATTATAGGTCCCAATATTTGAAGTTGTAAACATAGGAGGTAGCGGTGGCCCTTGCCCTGTCCCTGCCCCCCAAAGGGGGCTGCGCCCAGTGGCTGGCTTGTGGGAAGCCCACCTATGGGGTACAGGCTCAGATGAGCGGTCCTGACTCAGCAGGGGTACACGCAGTGCTGGGGAATCACCAGGGCGACTGGGTCTTGGGCTTCCACTATTGTTCACTTCCTTTTCCTAGACCTGTTTCCTCGTGGTGACATGGGGATCATAAAACTCCTACCTCCCGGGAGGTGGTGAAGGCGGGAGCCTGAGACCCGCGTCAGCCACAGGCCTGCTCTTAGCCCAGTGCTGCCCCCAGCCCGCCCCCGCCCCTG